CTTGCCCGAGGTCATCCAGCAGCTGCAAGTGGAGGAGAAGTGGGGAATCAAACCCGGCTCTCCCAGATGAGAGGCCACGCTCCTGGCTTGGGGTGTGTGTGTGTTTCCGCTGCCCTCTGCCTCAGTCTTGGGGGGGGGCACCAGATGCAGGGGGATCTACTGCAGGAGCAGGCGTGGGGGGGGGGAGGCGTCAGGGGATTCCCAGAGCCTCATCAGGAACCACAGTGGGGGGAAGGGGGAGTGAAAGAACTCCACGAGGGTCTCCCCAAGGCAACTGGGCAGCAGCCAGGTGGACAAGCGAGGCCTGTTGGGGCGAAGAAGCGTCCGAGTTTCACTGGCACCCTGTTGGGGCCTGAGGAGGGAGGAGATCTTGGTGGCCGGCGGAATGAAAATGGCGGCGGGGTGTGCAGCAAGCAGCTGAGAGAGTGGTGGGTGAGCGAGGCCAGTTCCACGCCAGGGGCGATGAGGAGGGTTGGGAAGGAAAAGGCCAGGGGGAACCTCCTCGCCCGCTGGACACCGCTCTGGTCACGCACGGACACACCCTTTAAGCTGTGGGCATCTTGGATGCAGCTGGCCCCAGGACCTTGGGTCTGACCCAGCAGGGGTCCCTTCCAGTGTTCCCTCTAAGCTGAGTTAGTGTGAGCTAGCTCACAGTTTTCTAGCCTCCTGTTTAGACATTTTTGTCTCAGCTCAAAAAGGACGTAGCTCCAGAGCAAACTAGGAGCCCAATCGCTCGCTCACAACTTGAATGCCAGGAGCTCAGAAAGCATAATTTTTGCTCACAAGAGTCCGCAGCTTAGAGGGAGATTCGGTCCCTTCGAGGGGTCACTTCAGTCACCACCATTGCAGAGGACAGCTGTGCTGGTCTGCAGGAGGAGAGGCTGGGTTCGAATCCAGTAGCCCCTTAGAGACAAGATTGGGGGGGGGATATGAACTTTCGAGAGTCAAAGCTCCGGAAAATCTTGTGGGTCTCTTAAGGTGCCCCTTTGGGGCCGGAGTATATCTTCAGCGATCGCTCTGTGGCATTTCCAGAGGGAACCAAGAGTGACACAGAGGAGGAGGAGGAGAGCGGCTTCCGTCCCACTAGATGGCGCCAGCGAGCTTTGCGCCTTGGAGGAGCCGCTCTGGACGCTGCCGAAGGCCGGCCGGGTGACTTGGGGGGGGAGAGAGAGTGGCTGGCAGAGACCAGGCAGGTCCCCCCTCAGATGCCAGGGCAGGGGGGCGGGCGGCAGAGAGAGAAAGAGCCACCCCAGCCCACAGAGGCAAGCCTCAGGTCAGCCCCGCCCTCCCCCCAGCCCGAGGAACACGACAGGACGTGGGTCTCAATCCCGGTCTCACGACAGCCCCCCACCCCACCCTTCCCCAAGTCCCTCTACGGGTCTACGAAGAGGCAGCTCTGCGTGGGGTTATTAGGCTGTGGATCTACTCGCTTGTACCTCAATGCAGCATACAGTCATTCTTTTTTAAGGAAAAAAGATTTCTGAACAGAAGAGCAGATGGATGAAGCTGGTAGGCGACAGCTTGGGG